ATATATATATATATATTATATATTATATATATATATATTATATATATGTGTAAATTCTTTGAATAAAATAAAGATATTGGGACTGCAATGTTCTTCATTCATCGCATTCGTGATAAGTCGGTCTAAAAAGAATATATATTTTTTGTTACTAATATTATAATTAAAATTCGTAATACGCTGCAGATATGACAATAAATCGGAAATAATTAAATACCTCTGTTTATCTATATTACGTTTTGACAATCTTCTTCCTCTATCACGTGTCGTTAATGTGTATCGCTTAGTATGTGCTCGATTCATCCTGAGTTCTCGTACTTCGGAAGTTTTTACTTTTTCCAGCTTCTGCATAAACTTGGTAATAAGTTCTGGACAATTCAGATTCTTCTCTGGTTCCCACGTGTCGTCCGCTGGACTGAATCCTTTCCATCTAATTAAGAATTCTTTTGTGCCATTTTTCTTAAAATGTACTTCGATTATTTTTTCGACTTCAAATTCCTTTGAGCTGTCTTTATCTGTATTTTCTTCATCTAGAAGAGAAAAAAATACATGATTAATTATGATAAATAATATTTCATGTGAAATGATTACAAAATCATTATATACCATTTTCTGTTTGTTTCTTAGGACTACTTCTAGACTTTTTAGATTTTGGCGATTTATCTGTTTTCGACGATTTTATTTCTTTCTCCTTTTCTTTTTCCTTCGCTAAATAATCTTCTATCAATTCGGGACAATTCAAATCCTTTTCATTTTCCCAAGAGTCCGCAGATTCACCATAACCCTTCCATCTTACCAAAAATTGCCGACGACCTTTAACAGTACGCAGATTAATAAGGTCTTCTACCTAAAAAAAAAAAAAACAAAAAATTTTATATTTTAAACAAGATAAGAGAAATATTTATTGTTTAAAATTTTCAATTTTTTAAATATTAATAATTTATAATTATTGTTTATTATAGGATGTTACAAAATTCACAAAAGAAAATCACAAAAGTTATAAGATTTTTAAAAACTTACGATTACGAAAACTTACTATAACGATTATGTCTTTTATCTTTTCTATTACATCTTTTTATTTTAAATTGAAATTTTTTTAAACATTTTATATAATTGTAAAGTGAGTGTTTACTATACTACTTGCTGTGTACAAAACGCATCAACATTTTGTTTTTACGAAACAGCCGCAAGTTGATTGGTTAAAATTATCGCAGTAGCCAATCAATTTACCGCTTGTCATAAGAATGAAAGAATGATTGGCTATTAACTTTTGCCGCGACCTATATGCAGGAACCATATATATAAAAAAGAAATAAAATAAATATAAGCTTAAATGTGAGAAAAAAAATCTTTAATTACTTTACGTCACCATTATTTAATTTTTAACAGACCGCACGTTCGTGTAAACTAATGTAAACATAATGGAGTCAACGTATAAAACAAAGAAAGTTTAAAATAAACAGTCATTAAAATAAACAGTCATTACCTCATACTCGTTGTCCTCGGGTTTGTCAGATTTGTCAGACTTGTCCTGGGCAGAAGTAGATGCTTTCTGATCCTCTTTCTTTCTGCGTTTATTTGGAGAGAGTTTCGTAGTAGGGGTCTTTTCACCGTTCTCCCGCTCCTGCGACTCCGCCTTCATTTCAGCACCGTCAACGTCCTCCGATGCCTCGTCCTCGGCTTCAACGTCGCCATCCGTCGTTGGTTTTGGCGCCGGGGCGCCGCGCGCCGAGCGTCTCTTCGTCGCGTTCTTCTGCGCGTTGCTGTTCCTACCGGTCTGCGTCTCGCCGTTACCAGCGTTGTCGTTGGTCGCGCGTGCGCCGACATTTTCTTCCGACTCGCTGTCGCCCTCCGTCTCCGACTTTCTGCGTTTGTTCTTCATGCTGAGTCGACGCATAATACGTCCACGGTGTCTATTAGCGCGCAGCCCGCCCTTGGATCTTCCGAGTCCCTTTGACGATGATCTCCTTCCACGACCGCCAACGACGCTGCTTGAACCTTTCCCTTCTCTTCTTCTTCTTCTCCTCCTCCTCCACCTCCACCTCCACCTCCACCTCCACCTCCACCTCCTCCTCCACCTCCTCCTCCTCCTCCTTTTGCTCTTTCTTCTTTTCAGCCCTTTTGCGCTTTCCCTAGATTTCTCACTTCGCCGGTCTTCCCCTCACTCGCTCACTCGCGGAAGGCTCGTGTGATCGGCCGACGAATCCCTTCCCGCCGTTCTAAACTGCTTCAAGGAAGTTTACGCTTATATTTGGCACAAATGCGCGCGCAGTATTCGGCGTTTATTCCAACGCGGGTAACACCTCCGTGTTGGTTGTCACTAAGGGAATACCAAGTACAATCGGTACTCCGTATTGCTGAGAATGCTCTACGGGCGGGACTTTTATGCGCATGCGTCACTACGTTATCTATCACGTGATCGACTCTCACAACCTCGTGCTAAGATACTTACGTGGAGGGCCCACTCTTAGGGCCCGTTCGAATTTTAACATTATAGTATTTTCGATCCATTTGCAGTGAATTTTCATCCAGGTTAATTCATTTCTCGCACTTGTTTTTTTCTTTCTTTTTTCAATGCATCCTATTCCAATCAATTCATCTCGCTTTAGATGTAAAAAGTGCACTATCCGATGGCATAATCCGAATCAAAATCCATTGCAATCGAAAATGCATTTATTATATAAAATATATATAATAGACGAAGGAATCTATTAATTCTTTAATTAATAAATTTTATTGTATGTAAATATTTTATGTAAACAATTTTTTACAAAATAATTTTTGTCTGGCCTTTCTCTCTTTGTCAAAATAACTCTAAGGATTAAATTTTTATTAAGGAAAATATTTAACAAATTTTACTTCATAATAATATAAGATTGATAACGTTTTATCAATCTATGTATAATATTTTCCGTTCCTTTCTTGTCAACGGTCTATATTTTTTGTTATAACAAAATATAGATGTAATTGAAAAAGTATATGTTAAGCGCGTTTCTTCAATTTGCATCAGTACTGTCAGTTATAGACGATGGAAGAAACTCTCTCCAGATTTCCGCATGCGCGGGCATACGATGTATTGCGCGATAACCTCCGACACTCGCAAATTCTTTACTACCGATCGAATACAATTTCGATGAAACGAATACCTTTATAAGCACGGCAGATCGATCGAGATTCCGTTACGTTACTTTTAATATTTAGGGCTGATTTATGCTTCGGCCTTAGTCTTAACCTTAAAAATTAGAAATGAAGAATGCCATAAGGTCGTTTTATGTCGTTTAAGGTCAGGGGAATAAGGTCGTTTATGCTTTAAGGTCAGGGGAAGCATAAACGACCTTATGGCATTCTTCATTTCCAACTTTTAAGGTTAAGACTAAGAAACATAAACATAAACCAGGCCTTAATTTTGGTATTATATATTAATATTATAGAATATTTTTGGGAAGTTACACAGGAGTGTCACATCTACAAATTTTCGATGCATTTTTTCCTCTGAATAAATTAAATTCAAAATCAATACTGAGAAAAAAATGAAATTCAATCTTCAACATGAAAGGCTGTATAAGAAATTAATTAAAAGTTAATGGGAAAAATAAATTTAGTGACTAACATGGGCCATAAGCAATCCTCAGATGATAAGAGATTTGAAACAAATAGTTAACAGTGAGGAGCTATCGTGGTCGTGCAGAGTAGACGTAAAAACGCAATTTGTAAACGAAGGATCTCGCGTTCGAATTCTAATCATTTTCACTAATTTTTCCGTCTCTTGCAGCTAGGTATCTAATTCTGCAGTATCTACAAAATATCTCTTCAATCGATTGTTTTTGTTTCGTATACTCTCTCATTCTCTCTTTTTTATCAAGAATATTACGTTTCTTCAAATGAATTCAACAGCAATCAATTCCTAAAAATACGGAAGTACGCGAGTCATTTATATCGTGTGACTAATTTTTTAATCTAATGTTAATACCAACAATATTTTACTATCGAAACAGCATTCACTCATCCTTCGTGTTCCTTTATATCGTCGAAACCACCAGAAGCCGTATCATCCGGACTTCCGGTAAACTCTTCCCTTCACCCCCGTGACCACCCGTGACGAGAAGGTCTCGCGTCCGTTTCAGTCATACTCCCTGCACTTCGTTTCTTCTCTTTCCGTCTCTATTTTTCGAAGCTTAATTATAGATACAACATATACATATGTTTACTTCATCTCGAATGCAAAAAGTGTAGGAGAGTGCAGCTGAGACGAACCCATTTTTTGCCCGCGGCGTATATACGTCGCAAACTCGTTGCAACGATCGAATATGACCATTTGGACAAACTGATATCGCGGAATGAATGACAAACCGCGCTGAAAATTGTCGTCGATACCAGAAGGGGAACTTGTTCGGGACACGACCGATTCTAAGCTAAATCTCTATCGTACCTCTAAGGATGACGTCTTCTACCGCTGTCGGCCTTTGCCCGAGACGGCCATTTTGATCATGGTTATTACCAGAAGACAACGGTGCGGTTTGAATTCGTCATCGAATCGATACTTCAAATGGCGTTACGTGAACTTTAACAGAGTGTGAAAACACAAATTATATCATCCTCTTTTTCGAAGTCTCCTTAATAATGAATCATGACATCCTTACTTCTGCTAAATAATATGAGATTGGCAAACAATCTCAGAATTAAAAAAATTTAATTTTGATTAACCCTGGCAAGTTTTTCGCGTTCGATTGATCGGCACACGATCTTTTAATTGGCGCTAATAACGAATTTTATGAAATAATTATTATATTGTACTTTCTCCGTTTTAGTGCGAACCGTGTTTATCTGATAATTGACAGCCCTTTAATGGCCATTGTCTCGTCTCCTCTGAGGATAACATATATATGTACAGTCATAATAATTTTTAATTAATGATTTTATCATCGGTGAACTCACCGGATGAACATGGGACCTTATCTTTATTTTCATATTCACTAAAGATGACTCAAACTTGAGTCGAAAGTCTGTATTATATATTAAAGTTTGTAATAAAGAATGTTAATTGCGCACTGTGAACAGCGCTGATGCTCATTTGCCTTAAGTTTCACATTATATTTAATACCGAGAATCACTTCATTAATAATTATTAACATTAAAAAAATATTAAAGCTCAAAAAACTCGTTAAATTGAAGATTACGCTAAAAAGTAAGACGTAGCGAAAAATAACTGTATATAAAATTTCGCATTCCTTGTCTTCCTTCGTTGTCTTGACAACGTCGCGATCGAATCGGTTTATCAGCAAGCGACTTTGTAGTATACTTCTTTTCTCTTTCCTTAACCCATTTCCTCGGCTTCAGTTTCTTTTCCTTTTCCTCAAATTCAATTCTCGTCAGCATGGCCAAATTCGTGAATATCTACGAGAAACCTGTGCCTCATATTGGTCTGCCGGACTGGTACATCAAGCTATGGGAGCTTCGACAAAGCGCGGAGATCAAAAGATCTGAGGCTTGTCAGCTACGTAATTCGAGCAAGACCGTCCGTTCTGACGGGGATGTGAAAACGAAATGGGATACGTATATGAATGATGGTCGATTGGCAGACAGGTGAATCAACATCAAAATTGACATTCAACTTTCGCAGAAATGTTAACACGATATTTTATCTCGGCAGAGTGTTGGAATTATCGAGATGGAAGGACATACTCGAGGACTTGTTGCAAAAACTGCTAATCGAAATAGGTCTATTGAACGACGAGAAAGACAACACGGAGAAGGAGATTGAAAGAATATCTCAGCCTCTGCGTATTGCCAATGAATGCATTTCGATGAGAGATTGTCGTAGAAGACCCGAGCTCACATATGACGAGGCCGATACCGAACTGAAAAAAGAACTCTGCATGATTGCAAATATTCAGGAAGCATTGACTAAACGGTGATCAAGTTGATGACAATAACGAAAACAATATAATAAAATTTTTTTCATCTCATAATTTTCATATTGCAGAGCACAGGCCGCATGGGAAAAATTGAATTGTTTGGAAACTCTCAAATTTAAGCTAAGCTTGGACATAGAGGACAAAACTGAAAGCATTCGAATAGATAAGGATAATCTCGAATTGAATCCTACTTCTGCAAATATGAGTTACAAAACAAAAACGATCATTGAGAAAACGAGGTAAAACATCGCTTCTTCATATCTCCATCATTGTTACAAGCAATTCCTAATGTATTTAATTCCATTTCGACAGTCCAATCACGTACGAGGTTTGGTTGGAGCAATGTCGCTGTTCCAAGCTGACGACCGAGAACGAATTGAATGAAAGTTATAATTTTCGTGAAGATATGCGCATAATGAGAGAATGTGCGTGGAACGATATCAAAGCTCAACAAGACGCGACTGATTACACTTTGAGAAAGAGAATTTATCAAACGCAAAAAGCCAGAAATGAGATGGAGTGGCAAAAACTCAAAGTATGTATAGTTGATTATGTTTCTTTTCTCAATTTTGATTTTTGTGAACGTGCAGAATAAGAATGAATTACATAAATTAATTAATAATTAAACAATTTGGCAAATAGTAAATATATGATAAAAAAGAATTCATTCTCATCTTCAATTTTCCATATAGTTACAAAAGGAAATAGAAAAGTTGGGAAATGAGATAAACCAGTTGGAAGGAACACTAAAAAGTAAAATGAATGTGGTGAAATGCGTCGAGACACGATTGGAAAATCGCATTTATCGACCTGGCTCCGAGTTGTGTAAGGACACAGTTGAATCAGGCTTGAAGAATGAAGTCCTGCAATTAAAACAGACCGAGGAAGACCTGATTAAAATGATTGAGCATGCAAAGTATACTTTTGTATCTGATATCATTGATTTACAGACATTGATTTATTTACTATTCCATACCTTTCTCTGCTTTATATTTTATTAATTCTCTAGATCAACCTACAACAGTCTGGAATCTTTGTTGATATGTACCGATAAAAACCTAGAAGACAAACAGCATTCCTTGAACACTGATGTTATGTGCTTGGACATGAGAGCACCGCTGAAGACAGGAGACAGATTGCGTTTATCCAATGAGACAGATCGTAATATTGTATTGACACATATGGAGAAAGAGATCCCGCTGGAATCTTAACTTAAACATCCCATTTACATTTGTTTTTATCTATTTGAATTTGTAAAATATAATTTTGTAGCTATTGCTATTAAAAAAAAGCTTATCAATTCTTTATCCTTACATCCTTATTTGTATCATATGACGAAACAAAAATATACTTAAATAATTTAATGAATATTATATTCATAATGAAAATATAAACCTAACCTGATTTAACTTTGCACATTGTAATGTCTCGCCTTCATTTTTCGTTCGTTATTTCGAGAATTACATTTATGCGTTGCAAAATTTTCTCTCTTTCGTCGACATGTCGATTCTGAAAAGAGGATATACTGACATTACGTGAAAAAAATCAATTCAATAACATATCTTACAGATTGACGCGTAATCACGCTCTGCTGAAGCACGGTAAAATCGATGAGTAGTTATCGATAACTCTTTCATAGATATCTCCGTATTATCGATATATCAGTCGATAACAAAGCGATTGACATTATTAACCAGGAGACATTGATCTTAAGTGGGAAGTAACGGAAGTGGTTACGAGAGGGCGCCAACATTATCAAAAGTAATGCTGTTTACGGAGGAGATAGATATACCATTTCGCATATATTTAAATTACACAACACACAAAATTACAGCGTAAACATTGGGAGCTTTCCAGCAAGCGACACAGTTGACACAGTGTAACACAGTGTCGCTATACGTGCTTTTCTGTTACGACACAACACAACACACATTTCGACACAGCTACGAAGCAGAGTCGGACTGTGTTCTGCATCATGGCTGCCAATTTTTTAAACTTTTATGTTCGTAGCACTGAATAGTGAAAAAGAATTCTGTCTTTTTCCGTTTTGAAATTAATCATTTATTTAAGGTTTGTTTAAGGCATTCTGTAGACCTATTCTCTAATGACAATTCGATGTCGTTATACTGTTGTTGCGCAGATATTTTATATGATAAAAACAGACAATATAATGATACCGAATTGTTCTTAAAAATAGACTAGCTGGACTAAGAAGAACAAGAAGAAAAGGTTACTTCTTCGATTATTGTTGTGACATTGCAAATATTTTAATAAAGATTCGAGAATGAGGTAATCAAAACGTTCAACAAATTTCAGCTAGCGTCAAATGGTGACTATATCTAAAACTAAAAGACATTCCATCAAGCACTCAGACATTGTATTTAATTATGTGACACACAGTGTCTATCTGTGTCTTCTTGCTGGAAAGCTCCCATTATAGACAGGCCGTAAGAAGTCGAGAGTAGGAGGTGCGTACAAATTTAATCAGCGCGCCTCGGAGCGCGCCCGTCGACTCTATTGCTGCATACTGCAAATGAGGTATATTTCACATTTATATATAAGAGTAATCGTAAAGTCGATCCAGCACGTGGATAAGCGGGACACTTGCTATCGACGGGAGAAAAACGTAGGAAAATGAGATGGTGAAAAGGAGGAACAAAAGAAAGGCGAGAAAACGAGGTGGGGAATAAAAGAAAAAGAAGAGTCTGTGACGCGAGCATCGCAAATGGGGTACTAAACGACGACGACGACGACGACGACGACGACGACGACGACGACGACGACTCGAAAGAGTCAATTTGAAAGAATTGCGGTGACGAGATACGCAGGCGGATAGATAGATATAAATAGACACGTTACTTCGTTTCCCGTTTAACGTTCGTAGCTACGTAACTACATAACGATCCGATCGATCAATTGTTACAACGATCGCGCGTGGTATACAAAGCGGCGACTACGGACAGAATTTTTGGCCTCCTGCGCGCGCTCCCGAGGTGGGACATGCTCGTATCGGAACGTAACGGAACGTCCAGATACGCGAAATCGCTTTTCGCCAACGCCTCTTTCTCCGTGCGCCAGGGACGGACGATAACTTTTTCAGGCCTGCAGCCAAACAGCCCCGGTTTCTAATAATAATACGATAAAAGGAAAAATGTCTCTTTGTTCCTATAATTAAAAAAAAAAAAAATTAGATTAATATTTCGAAACAAAATTTTCTCGTGGAGTCTTGTAGTGGTTTCAGGACAAGACACTTTCGATTCTTAAGATCAGAAAATCTGTCGAGAAGAATCGAAGGAATTGACCGAGATGAATATCGTTATCCAAAGATTATTTCGCGAGGCCGTTTAAAAATGCTGAGACTAATATTAAACGAATTCATCGTCGTCTGTGTACGCGAGTCCGTTCCTGGCAATCGCTAGAAATTTCATCTCTTGCGTTTTCGCGCAAAGCGCACGGTTTAAATGCGAAGGGCGGTGCGCCTTTCGCGCGAAGCACGGTGAAGCCGACGAGCGATGGATCGGATCGAATCGATCGGAGCACGCGTGAGAACGAATTATTCCCGGCCCATCGCTTCGCGTAATATACAGATAATATTACATTGGCTACATAGCTATCAGATGCGTATCTTCTGGTTTTTTTTCCTTCACTCTTTTTTTTTTTTACACGTATACACAAGCGCATACATAGACTACCGCGTGTGTATGAATACGCATATAAATACACACTCGCGCTTACAGCACACACGGACGCAGCATTCGCCCCCCC